CACCTCGCAGGTGAACTGCTTGCGATGGTCTCCGACCCACCCGGCGGTGTTTGTTGCGGGGGAAAGCAACGGCCGCGTCGCTGCGTGGGATTTATCGCGGAACTCGTTTTCCCCAGTGGCAGTGGTGTATTTGCGATCCGTCCCATCTGCAGCGGGGTGGGCGAGCACGCCTTCCGCGACAAGCGCGGTGAATGCAGGCTCGTATCGCAGCGCAGCCGTCACCAACCTTGCGTTTTCGGACGACGGTGCGTGGCTTTCGTGCGGCACCGCCACTGGCGAGATCCATCTGCTGCACCTGCGATCGGATCTTACGGTAGAGAATGCGGCGACGACGGCAGCCAAAGAAGTAAAGGCGGGCCCGCTATCTTGCGCGCGCAACGAGGAGGTAGCATTCAAGGATGGCTGTGATGACGCGACCGTGACTGCAGCAGCAGTCGGGCGTCATGCCACTTCCTCTTGGATTGACGCGCGGTTTGGCTTTTAGGTGGGACGAAGAAGTCGGGAGGAAATAAATGGAGTCCAGAAAAGGGGGAGAGCACCCGTGACGTTCCTTTTTTTTTTTTTTTCTTCTTAGTTTTTGTCGGCGTTTGTTTGCTTGCACTGTGTGTCGTTAAGGAAGATCATGCGGGTGCGTCATGTAAAGCAGCTGCCAATTTTCTTTTTTTTTTTTCTTTTTCTCTTTCTTCTTCTACAAATTTTTTTTTTTTTTATTATCTCTTTGATGTTTGCGGCCTTTTTTTAAACGGTTTTGTGTTGCCCCTTACAATCAACACATATCGGCTTCGCTGTTTAGAGTAAGTAGGACTTGAGGCGTGCATCCACCTGTCGTTTTTCTCCAGCCCCGTCATTTGTAGCTTCCACTCATGTTCCGTCTTGCGGGATGGCGACTTGCCGCCGTTGCGTCCATGACGCCTTTGCTGCAGAAGGCAAGTATCAGCAAGAAAGCAGAAGAAAATGCAACTGCCCAGCCTGCGAAGCGACGAATCGGCACAGTTGTGTCGTTTATGCATCGCCGTGGGTATGGCTTCATTCGCGAGTTGGAGTCTTCTCCGGGGAAGAAAAAAAAAACTCACGAGGCCGCTGCCGTGGCTCCAGCAGACGCGGACGCGCCAGGGAGTAGTGCGGCATCCAATTTTTTTTTTCCGCGATCATCACTTGACGGCGGGTTTTATGTGGCGGAAGGACAGACTGTCGCGTTTGATGTCCGGTTGCCGGAGCAAAGCAAAAATCTAAATGCGCGCCTTGCAGAGGCGAACATTTCTTCTTCCGCTGCCTCTGCCTCCTCAACACCGCCACGCACAGACGGTACCGACGAGGAGGTGGATGGCGAGCAGTCAAAGAAGCTCACTTTTGCTCACCGCATTCGTCTGTACGATGCTCGTGGCGGTAAAGAGAAGCCCGTGACACCCATAATGCTCGTTGGCTACGTTGAGAGCTGGGATCAGCTTGCAGGCAAAGGTGTCATTGCGGAATTGGACCTCAGCGGTCGTCTAAATGAGGATGCCCCTCGTTTCACTGTCGGTCTTGAGGACTTGGACCTTGCGGGGCACTCGGAGTTGCGACGCGGCCGCTACGTGCGTTTCTGTCTCGAATCTGGTGATCGCACTGCTGCGCGGCGTGTCATCATTGACCGCGGCGCGGAGAGGAAGCATGCGGCGCAGTTGTCGGCTGCTGCGGAGGACCAGGTGGATGGGAATGATGTACGTCAATACGGCACCGTGCGGGAGATTGTGGAGGGTCGATTTGGGTTTATTCTTCTCGATGAGACGGGCGAGTCCGTCTTCTTTCACATGAGCAACGCCGAGGGTGGAGTGGTCAAGCAGGGCGACACCGTCTCCTTCATCATGCGTGAGGTGACGCAGGGGAAACACGCAGGGAAGAGGACATGTCTCCGGGTGAGACGATGCGCCGCGCGGAATTCCACCTCGTCCGCGGGGGCGGCGGCGGGCAACGGACAGAAGTCGAGTGCCGCGCAGGATTTTGACGACGACGACGAGTTTGAATTGCTGGAATAAATAAATAAAAAAAAAAAATAAAATTGAATAGAGCAATAAGGAAAAGGACCGAGGCCGATTCGTAATGCAGGGGTGACTGTACAAAACGGAGGCAAACAAACTGGAGGGGCGAAGAGTAAAAACAAACGCCTTGCGTCACTAAATACGTATATCTATATATCTATATACATATTTATTTAATGAAGAAGAAATAAAAATAACGACAATAAAACAACAAGAAGAAGATAGGTTTGAGAAGCAAAGCGTAATCAGACGTATATATATATATATAGGGTGATAGAGGGAAGGCTGGGTGGCGGGGAAAGATCCTCCCGGATGTGTTTTTACCGTTTCTTTGGGGCTTTTATGATGATTATTTTTTCTCTCCCTGATTTGTTGATACTCGTCACCACAGGCCTTTTTTTTTTTTTTTGTGTGTGTGTGTATGTATTTATGTGTCTGTGGGGGGTTTGCTTGATTTTGTAATATACACATGCGCACACACACAGAAAAACAACAACAACAACAACAACAAAACAGGGTGAGATCTACATGCACACTTCTGCATACATGTGCTTACACGGTTACTCCACTCTCTCCACACTGCGTTTCCTAAGCATTTGGCAGACGACAACAGCAACGAGGACATATGGTGTCAAAGAAAGAGAGAGAAGGAGAGAGAGAGAAGGAGAGAGAGAGAAGGAGAGAGTACACGTGTGCATCAACACTTTTGTTTCTTTTCCCTTTTCTCTTTACATACAATATATATATCTGCGTGGATATGTACATGCGTATATGCGTGAGAGTGTCTGTCCCAAACAAAATTTTTTTTTTTCCGCTTTCCATTTTTTTTTTTTTTTTGTGTGTTTTCCCTTGATCTCTCGAACAGGGCAGGAAAAGCTTCTGTTTGACCAAAAATATAAAATTATTAAGGGCGAGAAAAAAGAAAAGAAAAAAAATCAACGAGCAAACAGGAGAGAACAACAACAAAAAAGGGAAATTATGCGATTTAAGAAATCATTCACATGCATCGACATGCATACGGAAGGTGAAGCAGCACGGATTGTGACGAGTGGTTTGCCACACATTCCAGGTTCGAATATGGCGGAGAAGAAAGCATACCTGCAGGAAAACATGGATTATTTGAGGCGTGGCATAATGCTGGAACCACGTGGTCATGATGATATGTTTGGAGCCTTTTTATTTGACCCTATTGAAGAAGGCGCTGACTTGGGCATCGTATTCATGGATACCGGTGGCTATTTAAATATGTGTGGACATAACTCAATTGCAGCGGTTACGGCGGCAGTTGAAACGGGAATTGTGAGCGTGCCGGCGAAGGCAACAAATGTTCCGGTTGTCCTGGACACACCTGCGGGGTTGGTGCGCGGTACGGCACACCTTCAGAGTGGTACTGAGAGTGAGGTGTCAAATGCGAGTATTATCAATGTACCCTCATTTTTGTATCAGCAGGATGTGGTGGTTGTGTTGCCAAAGCCCTATGGTGAAGTACGGGTTGATATTGCATTTGGAGGCAATTTTTTCGCCATTGTTCCCGCGGAGCAGTTGGGAATTGATATCTCCGTTCAAAACCTCTCCAGGCTGCAGGAGGCAGGAGAACTTCTGCGTACTGAAATCAATCGCAGTGTGAAGGTTCAGCACCCTCAGCTGCCCCATATTAACACTGTGGACTGTGTTGAGATATACGGTCCGCCAACGAACCCGGAGGCAAACTACAAGAACGTTGTGATATTTGGCAATCGCCAGGCGGATCGCTCTCCATGTGGGACAGGCACCAGCGCCAAGATGGCAACACTTTATGCCAAAGGCCAGCTTCGCATCGGAGAGACTTTTGTGTACGAGAGCATACTCGGCTCACTCTTCCAGGGCAGGGTACTTGGGGAGGAGCGAATACCGGGGGTGAAGGTGCCGGTGACCAAAGATGCCGAGGAAGGGATGCTCGTTGTAACGGCAGAAATTACTGGAAAGGCTTTTATCATGGGTTTCAACACCATGCTGTTTGACCCAACGGATCCGTTTAAGAACGGATTCACATTAAAGCAGTAGATCTGGTAGAGCACAGAAACTATTGGGGAACACGTGCGAACAGGTGCTGCTACGTGAAGGGTATTGAATGAATCGTTTTTTTTTATTTTTATTTTTTATTTTTATTAGTGCATTATTATTAAATTTTTTTTTTGTTTTGGGGTTTCAACGGTACCGCGTTGGGAGCAGGGAAGCGATAGCGGCCGGACAATTTTTTGCTTTTATTTTCATTTTCATCTTCCTACCCAACCCCCTTGGTTCCCACCGCTCGCGGCGGGGTCTTGTGGTTGGAGGAGTCCTAAATTCCGCCACCTCGTAAGTAATAAACATATTTCAATTCATATCTGAGATCAAAAGGTCATGTGAGCGGTCAAAAGAATATACACATATATATATATATATATATATATATATATATATATATATTTAACCAGAAGAGAACATCTAGGCAATTAACCGCCTCTGCTTTACCTTACCTTTCCCTGTCTTGTTTGGTTTTTATTATTGATAAACTGCATGATTCGGCCAGCGGCCCAAAAGATTATTATTTTTTTTTTTCTTGGATAGTGTTTTTGGCGTTGGGTTGAGGGAGTCGTGTGCGTGAGTGGGGTGGGGGGTGGGTCTGAGTAGATGCTGCGACGGACGGCCTGCACGCGCGGGGGCGCGGCGGCGGGGGATCCCCACCGCTACTCGGAGCGGGCGCAGCGCATTCGGCGGCAGGAGTTTTTCTTCCGTCAGCTGCGCCGCCTCATCATCCCGGGATTTTTGGCGTACGGGCTGTTTATCGCTCGCCCACAGGAGGGGCACTTCCTCCGCTACCTGGCGGAGCGGCGCCACCACGACGCGGCCTTCAACCGGCTCTTCCCTCCGCTGCCGGCAGGGCAGTCCGATGAGCGGACGACAAGGGAGGGGAGCACGCCGCGCCGAGGCGACTCCGGGTGGGGGTGGGTCGGTTCTTTGCGGCGGCAGGCGCGTGGTAGTGGTGGCGGCGAAGAGTCGGATGACGAAGCCCGACTGGCGCGCAGGCGTCTGTTGTTTGCGCGGGAACGTGCGTACTCGTCGTCTGACGGCGGCGAAGTGTTTCGTTCCATTGACGCGGCGCAGCGGGCGGCTGAGTTGGCGTCACGGCGGGAGCATCCACCGATGCATCTTTTGAGCCAACAGCTGCAGGAGCTCATGGGAGCATCAAAGTCGTATGAGGCAAAAGGCTCGGCTGAGGCTGCAACTGTCGTCCTGCCTGTGCGTTTGGAGTTTAAAGACCGCGTTTTTTTTTCAACGGCGAGTGTGGTTTTTACAGACAGTACAGGCGCATCCGAGCGTCGTCTTCGCTTTTTTGGCGTCTGTGGAATGATGTGGTGGGAAGTTTAGGCGTCGTATTTGTTTTTCTACTTTCATTGGGTATATATAAAACATTCATATATGCATACACCGCACGGGTTGTGGGAGAGGTTTTTCCCGGAACAAACACACGTCTTCTTTTTTTTTTTTTTTTTTACTTTGTTCTTGGGCTGCTGGTGGTGGTGGTGGTGGATTTATTGTTTTTCCGGCGGTGCTGCGGTGTGTGTGTGTGCGTGACTTCACCCCGCTCGTAGGCTTTGCGTTCGTTGAACGCACATCTAGCGCAGGGAGAAGAAGAGGTGGGAGGTTCTTAAGGAGGACCTTCCCCGCCCATCCCTCCCTTCTTATTTTTCTTCTCCCCACAAAACGAAAACAAAACAAAAACAAAAAATAATAAAAGGATTAGGAGAAGGGGAGAAAATGGATCACGTCGATGTTGCCGGCACGCGGGACATGGGGTCAACACCATCCCTGACCGCCCTGCAAGTCATCATACCTTACGGTAGCAATAGCAATAACAATAACAATAATAACAACAACAACAACAACAATTTTTATAGTGGCGGTGTTTGCTTTACGCGTTGCCCATCACTCACGGCGAATGTCACGCGAAGCCTCAGCGTTAGTTGTGGCGGCGATGGCAGCAGCTTCTCAAACGTGTGGTCACTGGCGAAGCCGACGTTGGACCCTTCGCACATCCGTTTTTGCCCAGAGGGTTGTTGGGTGCCGGACGCGCAGGTGATGACATGTATGGCGCACGAGTGTAACGTTTCCTTCTCTCTCTTTAACAGAAAACATCACTGCCGCCTCTGTGGGCGACTCTTTTGTGCGGCCTGCTGCTCGCACGTCATCACAATTCGTAGTACGCGCGGCGGTTTATCTGCATCTTGTGCGTTGTCTGGCGCGGAGGGACAGGAGACGGCTACGTCGCTGCCAGCCATTTTGGGTGCTACCGACGACAATTCTGCGGGAGGGGCATCCAGCAATCCAAATCCCTCCAGCTTTTATCCGTCACAAGCACAACTAGTACAGCAACAACAACATTCTACATCTCATTTAGAACCCACCGCAACAACAACGACGCATCGCATTTGCTCCGCATGCTACTACGAGATTCAGCTGGTTGTGCCCCGTCGGGATCAAAATGGTGAGGTGCGGCGGAGGTGCCGGGGCGAACTAAAAATGTTTCAGTGGTCACTTCTTGTTAAGGTGCTCTCGTACCTGAGCATGCATGATCTCCTGGAGGCGTCGCTTGTGTCCTCTGATCTTTACTTTATATCAAGAGACAACGTCATTTGGTATCAGTACAACATGGCCCAGCGCCGACAGAAGGAGGTGCAGCTGCGAATTCCACCGAGGCGTCAGAATTCGTCACTTTCACTCCGCAGGCGATTTCTTCAGCGACAGAAAGAGCCCCTTCGGGCATTTGGAATTGAATTTGGCGACGTCTCTTCGTCCGACGCTTCCAAGCGTGTCATTTCGCTTCATGCACGGTACAACTTCACGCAGTTTTTAGACTTTGCACGTCGGCAAGAGATGGCACGGTGCAGGGGGCTCTCCTCCTTTTCCGTTGCTGCTCGCACACTCTTTTCCAGCCCGCTAAAAATTGCCATTATTGGCTCCATGGGTGTTGGGAAGACGCTTTTAGTGAGGCACTTTGTAGTATCGCACGAGAATGGCGGTTCAAGTGGAGGGAGGATCTCGCCAAAGTTGGGGTTTGTGCGCTATGCGAAGATGGTGCACCTCACAGGCAGTTTGGCCGCCGACGTTATGCTTCACATTTACGACATATCCGGTGAACTGCGCTTTGAGGAGCTGCGGCGGTTTCTTTGTTCGAATTGTCATGCGGTCGGTCTTTGTTACGATCCACGACGCAAATTCACACTTGTGGAAGCGGCCGATGTTATGATGGGCGTAGAACCCGCCCTTGGACCGCAGCCTGTTGTTGTGTGTGGCATCCTTTGCCCCGCAGAACCTGCGAGACAAGACTTGCATGAGGCAGCAGGAACGCAGGAGTTGGAGGTGACGGAGGTGGACGCAAGCGGTATCACCGTGCGTGGGCGTGGGTCCCTGCAGTGCGCGTGGGACAACAGTGAGTGTCTTTTTCAGCAACTTGTTCAGTCTCTTTTAGACCGCCTTGCCATGGCAACCGCCACATCGTCCGTTGTCAGCGCAGCGTCTACTGCACTTTTGGCGGGTGATGAGAAGGAGGCCACAGTAAATTGCAACATCGCGCAGGAGTTGCTGCGAATCACTCTGGATCCCTCGCCTCTTGACGTGCTGATGGACAGCAATTAGGAGTTGAGGGTTTTGGGTGTGGTTCCAATCCCTTTTTCTCTCTCTGTGTCCATTTCTTTGCTCTGCATGCATGTGAGTAGGAGTAAATATCGGCGTTCCCTTTTTGATTTTCTTTATTGCTCGTGTGTTCCCTTGCTTATGTGTATGGGACAACAAACACACGCATCCACACAGAACGGGGGGCATACAGTGCAATTCTCTTGCGCATGGGGTTCTTTCAATCCCAGAGAGCACGAGCGAGACAAGATCTTCTCTAATGCAATCTTTTTTTTTCTTTTTTATCATGTCTGCGCAAATTACTATGTGTTGTGTTGTATGTATGCGTTTATCTGCACTTTTTTTTTTTTCTCTTGTGTCTTTCTGTCTCCCTCCCTCTCTCTTTCTCACAATCGCTTTTTGCGTCTTTTTGCTGCTGCTCGGTGCACGTGAGGGATATCATCGTACCCATTTTTTGTTGTTGCTGTTGTTGGTGTGTTTGTTCTGCCGCACCGTTGACGCGTGAGGGGTGCAGTGGGTTCCGCCCGCCTTGCAGAACACACTGCGTGAGTATTTGTACCGAAATAAAAACCAACAAACAAACAAACAAGCAAAAAAAAACAGCGAGAGCGTCGACGGCAGGAAGATTGTCAAAGAGGCGGGGTGGGTGGGTGGGAAACGGCTTTCTGCAACTCACCTTCTTCCCTCGTTGCTTTTCCCTTGAAGTTCAGGGTGCGCAGATAGCAGAATATAAAAAGAAGAAGAAGTGGGGGGTGGAAAGAAAACAACAAGGCGGCAGAGAAGAGCATCCATCATTATTACACGCGTTAAGGTGGTGTGGGTGGGTGGTTTTGTCATGTCCACCGTCGACAAGGCCTTCTTGGCAAAGAAGGTCATCTCCTCTGATGGTCCCTCGCCCAAGGAGGAGGAACACAATGTGTCACTTGTTGACTGGTGCGTGGCCGGTATTGAGCCTGAGGAGGAGGCCAACAGACGGCGGTCGGTGCTGGAGCACATCAACAACATTGTGCGTGCGTGGATTCGCTCGACCATGATCACAGAATTTCGCATGCCGGCGGAGGCGGCTACACAGGTGGAGGGGCGCATCTTCGCCACGGGTTCCTACCGCTACAATGTCCATGCGTCTGGCAGCGATATTGACATTGTCCTCATCGCGCCAAACCGCATTACCCGTGAGCACTTTTTCAATACACTCGCCCCACGTCTACAGCATGAGCCGCGTATTACGGAATTACACTGCATTCGGGACGCACGTGTGCCTCTTATTGCGATGGTGGCAGACGGGATTGATATCGATTTGTCCTTTGGATCAATTCGACAAGATCGTGTGCCAGAAGTTATCACAGACGATTTGTTACAGGGACTGGATGATCAATCTGTACTAAGTTGTAATGCGGTGCGTGTGGCTCATAACATTATGGATCTTGTTCCCCATAAGGCATCATTTCGTCAGGCATTGCGTTTTATCAAAGCGTGGGGAAAAGCACGGGGAATTTACAGCAACACGTTTGGGTTTCCCAGCGGTATTGGATGGGCTATTCTTGTTGCCTTTGTGTGTCAATGCCACCCGAATCAGAACGCCGCTGGCATTGTAGTACGCTTTTTTCGTATATATCACTCATGGTTCTCACCAAACCCACAAGAAAGCGGTAGGGAAAATCGAGCCATTTATTTAACCGAAACAATGCGAGTCAAAACAAACCTTGGTCGCGGTTGGGATCCACGTGAGTCCAAGTCGGATGCGATGGCGCTTTTCCCTGTTCTCACACCGGCCGTTCCATACGGCAACGCATGCTTTAACGTGACATTGACAAATCTTCGACAGTTGTGTACCGAGTTTGCACGTGGACATGAAATCTGCAGTTCAAGCCTTGTTACTTCCGCTGAAGAGGCCAAGTCACGGTTTGGTCCGCATGGTATTTGGAGTAGACTACTAGAACCTGTGAAGTTTTTTGGTGAGCACAAGTATTACTTGCATGTGCTTGTATCATGTACAGACGCAGAGGCATATCAGGGTTACGTGGATGCCGTTGAGTCGAGGATCCGTTTTCTTTGGGCTGGTACAGCAGAGTCACGAGGATATGCATTGGAGAATATTCGGCACGTGCGAATACGGCTCAATCCACGGCGTTATGAAGCTCCAGAGGAGGTTGAGACACGAGCTCGTCTCCTCAAAAAGACGTCTCGTAGCAGCGGTGGGGGCAACGGCTCCATGGAAGTGTCTTCTCATCAAACTTCCGGGGCGGTGGACGACTCTTCTTCACCAAAGATATTTAGTTGTCATTATTTTATTGGCATGTCTGTGGATCCGAAGGCAACTTCAGGGAAAATTTATCTTGCTCCCAGCATTAGGGCTTTCCACGGCATTGTAAGGCAACTACGGCAGTACAAGGAGGGAATCACGCGACTTCCTGTCATTACGGTCGAAGACATATCAAAAATACCCGCGTTTGTGAAGTCTGCAGCCGGTTTCAAGGAAACTGTGGTGGTACCGGATGCGGATCATGCGGATGATGCAGCATCTCTCGCTAAGGCCCATGTTGAGAATGGTGCGCGCAGCACCGTAGCTGGAGAGAAGCGTACTCGTGAAGAAGGCGAGTTGAAGCACGACGCCGACGCAGCAATAGAGAGTACGGTTACTGAAGCTTCTTCACCATCTGTGGCAAACGTTTCTGGGGTACTTCATGGGAGGACAAAGAGTGGAGCGGCGAATAACACAGCAGTTGACGAGGATGAACCTGATTTAGAAGAGGCCCTGGGTCTTGGGTTTTGAAAGAGCGATGCGGGCATATTTATTTATATTTTAAAATATCTTTCACTTAGTTTGAGATTCTTGGAGTTTCGTTTTCCCCTTCACACTTTCCACTTGCTTTTTTTTTTTTTTTTGGGTGAGTGGGTGGGAGGGAAACGTGGTAGAAGAAATTCATATTGAGGGGGTGCGTTAACGGTGCTCTTCCTCTCTCTTTCTGTCTTTCTCTCTGTGTCTGTATGTGTGTTAGCAATGATGCGGTTGAGCAACCTACTTTTCCGATGTATAACGTCAGGGTACTATGAAGAAAAGCTGCAGTCTTGTGTGTGGTCAGCGGCGTGGCTTCGTCAGGCAGAGGAGGAGGCCGCTCGGGAACACAAAATCACGCTGTATGATTTAATGCAACGGGCCGGGAAGGCGGCATTCGACGTCTTTCGCCGTGAATATCCTTCATCGAGGCACTGGCTCATTTTGTGTGGGAGTGGGAATAACGGTGGAGACGGGTTTGAGGTTGCTCGCCTTGCCGCGGATGACAAACTACGTGTGACGGTGTTGGCTGTCAAGGGAACAAAACCACTTCCTCCAGAGGCTTCCGCCGCGCATGCCGCGTTGTTAAAGCGAGGTGGCGTGAAAATCCACGATGCTGGCCAGTGGAAAGAAACGGAGCTGGCGGAAGATGTTGATTTGGTGGTGGACGGACTGTTGGGCACAGGGATCACCGGGGCACCGCGTGCTGATTACGCGCGTTTAATCGATTTGGCCAACGCCCTTCCTGTACCTTGTGTGTCTATTGACATTCCATCCGGTTTGAATGCCGAAACTGGATCTGTTGAGGGTGTTTGTGTACGAGCAGAACATACGGTCACATTTATCGCATTGAAGCCAGGCCTTATAACTGGTCAAGCACGAAACTACACTGGTACCTTGCATTATGACTGCCTGCAGCTTGGGGAATGGATGCTGGAACCAAAGCGTCAAAGTCAGCTTTTTTGTCGCCGAATTGTGAGTTCACATCTAAAGACGATATTTGCTCAAACACCATCCCCATGTGCAAATAAGGGTTCGAACGGCAGACTACTTCTTGTTGGTGGTGATCACAACTTTGGTGGGGCGATTATTATGGCCGCTGAGGCAGCATTAAACACGGGTGTCGGTCTTGTTCGCGTCGTTACGAGGTCAGCGCACATCGGCCCAATTCTATCCCGTTGTCCGGAGGTGATGGCCTATGATTCCGAAGAATGTTCCCTGTATGATCTAATTCAATGGTCGACGTGTGTGGCTGTGGGGCCGGGCGTTGGGCAGGCTGAATGGGGTGAAAGTATCGCCTCGCGGATTATTCACGATCGTAAATATTTTACAGAGAAACCTTTTCTGCTTGACGCGGACGCACTAAACTTATTTGCGAAAATGGTGTCATCAGGGGAGGCAAAAGGATATGGACTACTTGAATGCAAAAAACAAAAAACGGTCATCACACCCCACCCAGGGGAAGCCGCGCGGTTGTTGCAGTGCACTATTGAAGAGGTGGAAAAGGATCGATTTCAGGCGGCAAAGAAACTGGCAGACCTTTATGGATGCACAGTACTGCTGAAGGGGCCCGGCACAGTAATCTACGCCGCCGAGGATGTAGATATCTCTGTCGATGCATTAAATACCGAACATGGTATTCTTTCCTCGCGTTGTATTGTATCAGACGCGGGGAACAACGGCATGGCTACCGGTGGTTTTGGAGATGTCTTGACGGGTGTTATTTCAGGATTTTTGGCACAAAAGTTTTCAGTTTGGCAGGCCACGTGTGGAGGATGTCTTGCCCACAGCACCGCAGCTGATCTCGCGGCAGCAGCACAAGGGGGTGTACGTGGGCTGAGGGCAACATCGCTATTCGAACATATTTTAACCTGCGTCAATCCCTTAACTGAACGGCAGTGCGTGTCCCTGAAGACCAGGAGGAATATCGATGACTGCGATGGGAGAGGTGAGCCTCAGGGCTCCGAAAAAGTGTCTAAAGTGGAAAAAAGCGTAAAATAGGGACGGGCGTAGGAAGAAGAAGAAGAATAAGGACAAAAAAAAAAAAGGGTGTAGAGGAAATTATGGATATGAAGTATATATGTATATATACACATATATATATACATACATACATGTATGGAAATTTGAGGGTCGGTTTTGGTTTTTTTTTTTTTTTTTTGCGTTATCGTTGAAAGTAGACATGACGTGAACTTTAACTTTTATTTATTGGTTCTGTTTCTGTCTGTCTGTGTGTGTGTGTGTTTGTAGGACTTTTTTTTTCCACTGCGATGTTTCTTTTTATTTGTCCTGCACAGTTCCTACAGTATAATTGGGAAAAGGGGAAACAACAACAACAACAACAACAAAAACAACAACAAAAAGGCAGAGGAACACGAAAAAGGAACGCCCTCACAATAACATATTTAACGACGAATAAAACTTGGACACACGCATAACTAAAAAGAAAAAAAAAAAAAGATATATATATATATATTGATAAGGGGAGAGGGAGAGAGGGAGAGGGCGTTATTTTGAGTGCAATTGTTGTCTTGCCTTTTAAGATGAACAGAGAACAATGCGGTGACGCCAACAAGAAGGTGTCTCCTTCCAAACCGAACCGCAGGAGCAATTCTTCGAGGAATGCTAACATGCATGAGGGTAATAGTGATGCAGGGGATGGGATTCAGAGGAAAGGCTCTGAGCGGAAAGAAAAGAAGGAGAGGGAGGGAATAGAGCCTCGTTCACCACGTCCTTACGTTAGGGAAAAGGACTTTACCGATCTTGTCTACATGCCGCGTACACTTACGGCTCTTTTTATTTTCATAGTATTTGTTCTTCTTATGATACGTTATTACTACCTTCCCCAAATGGGTGTGGTGGCTAATGTGAAACTTGGATTGGCAGCTTCAGCATTTTCTTTTATTGTTTTTGGGGTTATTCATTTGCCGGACTCGTTGCTAGTGCGACCACATCCATTTGTGTGGCGTGCTGTATTGGCCAGCGGTGTGCTATATGTTGCACTGTTGTCATTTTTGTTGTTTCAGAATTTAGAGACGGTACGTGCCATTATGGGTCTTTACGACCCTGCGTTGCTTGAGGCATTACCTGAGCGTCAATATGCGGAGGACTGTCGTATTTTCACTTCAAGTGATCCATATTTATTTATTCGAACTGCCTGTGATATTTTTATTCTTGCTCATTTTATTGGTTACTTTGTAAAAACACTTATTTTACGGGATTGGCGCTTTGCCACATGTGTATCCATTACATTTGAGATCATTGAGATTACACTCCAGCATGCCCTTCCAAACTTTAAGGAGTGTTGGTGGGACCATCTGTTGTTAGATGTGCTCCTGTGCAATGGCGGTGGGACGTTACTTGGGATGTTTGCTTTGCGGAGGCTCCGGGCAAAGAAGTATCACTGGGTTGCTTTACGGAACATTAAAGGATACAAGGGGAAAACGCGACGTATTCTTGGTCAGCTTGGCCCACGCAGCTTTGAATCCTATGAATGGAATGTGTTTCATGACCCAAAGCGGTTCATGCAGTTTCTCACGTTGTTGTTATTAATATCTTTGGCGGAGGCAAACTGTTTTACAATAAAACATATTTTGCAAATGCGTCCAAACTACCACCTTGTCATTTTGCGTCTTGCGCTTTGGGGTCTTATTGCCATGCCGGCCATACGCGAAATTTACACGTACATTAACTCGAATAATTCAAAGATGACAAGGCTGGGCACAACGGCGTGGGTGGCGATATCGGCACTTCTTCTGGAGACGATTTGGATTGCCAAGTTGTCGATGGAGGGAGGCTACTTTCAAGAGCCCATGCCGGTTTATATAGCGGTCCCTTGGATGTGTGCCCTCTTTCTTTTTTTTGTATGGTTTGTATTGTTTTTTTGTGTGGTTTCCCTTCGACAGCGGCAGGAGCGGCGTGGGGTGTGGTATGCTTTATCAAATCTTTTCTTTTACGCCGGCTGTGGCTGCGTTGTGGCGGTGGTCATGATGGGGATGCCGGACCTGCAGCTTGGAAGAAAACGCTTTGAACGATTCATGGCACCATACGAACATCGGGTGTTGTTTTGGCGGGAATAGAGCAATAAAGAGAGAGGATGACAACAACACCACTACCAACACCACCAACGAATAAAAAAAAAAAAAAAAAAAAAAAAAGGAGGGGCAGAGGAGGGGGGAAGGGACACCGGATGTTAATTACCGGCGACACGTGCTACCAGAAATAAAGACACCGGTGACGTTTCTTTTTTCTTTTTTTGGGGGGCGTGCGGGGGTTTCACTGGAGCAGCAATGATGCCTACAAAAACACTGTGAATTGTCTGTATTTTTTTTTTTTTTTTCATTTGATGCGCATTCACTGGAGGAATGGGATGGACGCCTCTTTGGTGAGTCTTTTTTTTTTTTTTTTTTTCAAATTTCATTTTATTTAATTGCGCCTGCGCACCTGTAATTAGGGGACCTACCGCTGTGGATGAATATGCCTGTCTGTGTGTGTGTGGGCTGGGGGAGCCACGAAGAAAAAACCAACAACAACAACAAAAACAACAACACACGTTTAAATCAACGTGGGGGGTGACACGGATGAAGACGAGATGGAACCTTTTGACTGGAATAGGGGATTGACTGGAGCGACAATATGACTTATTTTTATTTTTATTTTTCGGTGGTAGCCTTTGATGCATGTTGATATCTACTATTATTGTTATGATTACTATTATTATTATTATTCTGAAGATGATGATTATGTTTTTTTTTTTCTTTTTTTTTTCTCCCCTACTGGTCTTCTTGTTGGTTGTTCGCATGTAATTTTCATTGCCTGTCGCACACGTCACACACTCCCCGTCTGTCTGTCTGACTTTTTTACAGTTTGTGTGCCTCTTGGACGAATGGTTTTGCCGCTGCTTTTTTTTTTTTTTGGGCTTTGCAGCGTGACGGTGTCTGAAGTGCGGGCTTCTGGGACAATATTGTGACCTGAATCCCCACGGAAATTTTCATTTC